ACTCTGTTAATATTTTATCCAAAAAGGAAATACCATAAAATATATACATAAATATATAAATATAATGAAACATTGCATTAGGAACACATGACTAAAATCAACAACTTCCTCAGATCCCACCACCTTATAGCCGGGAAGTTTCATTTTCACAATCTAAAATGGCAAAAGAACTCAACCCCATCTATACCCATATGTACACACCAACACACGCGTATCAGATACCACCACAGTACCTACTACAGTTAGAGCTTGTATTATATATATATATATATATAACCTCACTCTCATCAAGTCAACTTCAGAATTACAAGCAATGAATCCACCCTATAACTCTGAGCTTGCCATTCTAGAAGAAATCCGCCATCATCTTCTTGATGATGACCATGAAACTATTCAATCTAACAATAACAGTACTATGGTGTTTTCCGGAAGGACAGGAAGTAATAGTAGGGACGAAACCACATCGAATTTGAAAGAGAGTGATATGAGGAGATCAATAATGAAGTACAAGGGGGTAAGGAGAAGACCATGGGGAAAATACGCGGCAGAGATCAGAGACCCTGAGAGAAAAGGGGCTAGAAAATGGCTGGGGACATATGAGAAGCCGGAGGAAGCTGCCCTAGCATATGACCAAGCCACTTTTAAGATGCGTGGAGCCAAGGCTAAGCTCAACTTTCCCCATCTCATTGGCTCCGATGCATTTAACTTTGAGCCAGTTAGAGTTACTAACAAGCGTCGGTCACCAGAATCTTCCTCTTCTTGTTCTTTTTCTTGGTCTTGTTCGTTATCAGAGGGTGGATCTCTGATGTCAAAATGAATTGTAACTAGTAGTGATGAGTTTAGTTTTTTCTTTCAATGAAAATCTACCTTATGCTTTAGGGATGACTAGTTTTTTGTTTTTTATTTCTTAGGCCACGAGAAGTACTCTATGTTTTTACAATAAACAAAACTTGAATCTCCAACACTTATCCAAGTTACCTATAAAATTTCTTCTTCCTGTCCTTGATTAGTTTGTTTCAATTTTTTAGCAACAGTGATAAAAAAAAAATCCATATATGTAATTGTTTACCTTTCAAAAGACTAGAAATGGTCATCGTAGATAAACAAAAAGAAGTAGCAATTTCGAAAGATTAGTATTATGGAAAATTCATTTGTTGTTTGACAAAACACTTGGAGACCCTTTATTAACTTTTTTGTCAAACCCCATAAATATATAAATGTGAAAGAGATTATGATTTCAAGTGTAAAGACCTAGAACTTAAAGGAAAATAAATTCATAAATTTAATACGGAAGCGATTAATAAAGTTAAGTTTATATTCCTTACACAATAATTTAGAATGCCCAATAGAACTACGGGAATGTCCCTTTTAAAAAATAAACGGAAATTAAAGAAATGAAACGAAAAGTGAATAACTAAACATCATAGGACAACCTTCACTAGCACTTGAAGGAAGTCTAGATAGTGAACTACTCACAACCCTCTTGCTAATAAAGATTTGGATCTTTATCCTATTGATCTGAAATAGTTAATGAAAGTGTGAGCTACACTAACCCAGTAAGAATATCACACTAATCACATATACGAAAAACTGAATATTGATAAAAATCATAAAACAACTAATTGAACACTTAATTTGAGTAAATTTAATATAAAGAAGACCGTTTATTCCAAAATTATCGTAACAAGTTTTTCAAAACAACCTATGAAGACCCATATTCATGTCACTCTTCATTTTCACACATAAAAGAAGAAGAAACAATAACTTTCTTTCCTTACATGCTTACTGGTACCCCTGTGAGTCCATAGGGGTATCCCCCCTACTCGTGAACCTAATAATTAACCAGCCGTCCTCATACCCCGTCCGATAATGGACGCCAAACATTTCATCACCTCGATACCTCGTCCGGCATGAGGGTGCATCATATCTCCTAAATCTTTCCGGTAAGGGACTTGTCAGCCCTGCCCGATTGAGGTAATATTCACAGTAGGGTTCCCTACGTACCGGCCCCGTCCACCTTTTTCTTGGGTACTCAATAAGTCTTTTACATACAGTTTTCATCAATAAACAACCAACAACGCATACCAATATCTCATATCACATTCACAGATCAATTGAACTACATTCATGCTGACGGTATATAATCAAAATAACCAAATAAATCGATAAAATAATTGAAGTTATAAATTAAGAACATGTACTATACGAAAATCAAGCAAGTAGGACAGTACAGGAAAATAAGCAGGAAATCAAGACAATTGTGAACTAATCGGTTCCGGCTCTACTAGTGACATGTAATTATTTTTAGAATTTTCTAAATTTTCACAAAACATGAAATTTTACATTGTTAAGCCTCAATTTACCGTAACGGAGAATAGGGTGAGAGATCCTTACCCATATCAATATTTCGAGATGTCGAGCTGTTTACTACGCCTCGTAACGAGTACCAGATTCCTTAAATTTTTTATGTGGAATTCAAAATACTCGTCACACACCTAAAAATACCCCAAAAATTCAAAATTGGTGTCTAAAACTCATTTTGGCCAATTTTCTGGGTTTTGGCACGATGGCACTACCGTGCTCCGGGGCCGGCTCTGCCGCCCACGGTGGTGGTTCACCTCAGCCTAGCCGGTTTTGGCCGATTTTGGACGATTTTGACTGGTTTTGGTTGTATTCCTGCAGAAAAATACGTTAAGGGCCTCAATTGGTCAGAAAATCTCAAAAATATCGAACCTACCGGACCTCCGGGTGTAGCGACTCTACCGGTCTTCCTTCGCGGTTGAGGTTCTTTCTTCGGCTACCCTACACAGAAAAGAACAGTGAGCACAATTATTGAAAAATTAAGTAAAATGAGAATCGGGAAGGGGCTCATCAGAGGGGTTTTGAGATTTTAGTTGCAGCGGTTCCGTCGGGCTTTACCCGCGGATTCTGGCTCACCTGCCATTCTTCTTGCTCCGATTTACCCATAGAGGTACTTGGAATCGAATTCCGAGTGGGGGGGTTTACTTTTTTTAGAGATCGGCGGTGGCTCCAGCGTGGCAACAGTCAACGGTCAGCCTCCTTCTCCAACGTCTGGTTCTTCTTCTCCAGTGGGTGTTGACAGTTAGGGTTATGTTTTCGTATGATGTGAAGTATTTATAACCATTCCACATTGATTTGGATCGTCCATTCTGATTGATCTCGTCCATCCAATCGCGTCTAAAGAGGAGACGAATCTAGACCGTTCATCGCAATTAATCTCGATCGTCCAATCATGTTTAAGATGAAAATGGATCCAGGTCGTCCACGTGCAGGATCGACACTGGGTTGTCCGATTGTGGGGCATGCAGATCGCCAGCGTGGCCTCCCTCGTGGTACCGATGTCAGCGCGCCTTACTATGCGGCGTGCTTCGGTTCGTCGAAGCTACTGACTGAGTGGTCCTACGTAGCTGAGCTTTCTCTATTTGCACTTTGACATTCTGTTTCTAATTTTTCTTTTAAAAACACCTCCAAAACTCAAATTTTTACTCATTTTTCCAAAAACTATTTTCAATCTCGTCGCTAATTCATTTTTTCTCAAAATTTCACTTAAATAAAAATAAAATAAATTAATTAAATATTTTAAATTAAAAATTAAAGTGAACCAAATTATCTCGAGTCTTTTTTTTAGGCCCGGGTTTTACAACTCTTTCCTTTTTAAGAAAATTTAGTCCCTCAAATTAGTCACTTCCTCACTCAGTTGAACAGTTTGGGGTACTGAGCCCTGAAGCTTGATTCCAATTCCCAAGTGGCCTCTTCTTGCATATGGTTCTATCATAGGACCTTGATGGATAAAATTTCTTGGTTGTAGAGTACTCTACTCTTTCAGTCTATAATGCCTACTGTACCCTCTCATAGGATAGATCCTCCTAGAGTAAAACGAACTTGTGGGGCGAGATATATGAGGGATTTGGGTTGTATTTACGTAGCATAGATACGTAGAACACATTATGAACCTTGGATAGCTCTAGAGGTAGTGTTAGTCTGTAAGCAGTCGTACCAATCCGATCTAAGATCTCAATGGTCCAACAGCCAGGGATTTAATTTTTTCCTCTTGCCAAACTTACTGATCCCTTTGAAAGGAGTGACCTTAAGAAACACTTTGACACTTTTCTCAAATTCCAAAATCCCTCATCCCGGGAGTTCGCAT